CGTGCTGCCAGGGGGAATCATGGGAAATGTAGTTTGGTTGCAAAAGTCAAGCTTGTAAACCAGCTATTTATCGCTATTCTTCATCAAGAGGAAACAAAATAGACTAAACAATAAATGGATCTTGAATATGAATTTACATTGGACTACAAACTGATTTTGCCACCTCAACTCAGAAGTCCACCACATCTTCTCTCTAGAACCATTTTTTTCATTCGGTTTTGTTGAGCGTTAAGACATAAAGACAGAAGAGACGAACACCATGGCCCTCGGGTAGAATGGTTAAATTTATTTGTTCATCTTAGCTGTGGCATTATTAAACCGAATGAGACATATGCAGGTCTGGCTACTGTCTGGTGTGGATTTACGGCCGGCCTACTCACAGAAGCTTTTCTTAGTGATTAGATTACCATTACTTTATGTTAGCCAGAGTATATGTGTGCAGTGCCATGTCTTTTCTCGCTCTTATGACAAAATGAAGCAAATAAAATATTTTAATAAAACCAGGGGTGAACTACAGCCAGAATGTTTCTACCTACAGTCAGGTAAAACAAAACAATTAATGTTCTGGGTTCAATAAAAGTTAAGCTGTATCGACAGTACCTGTGAAATACTGTCAGTTACCACAGGAAAGAATTTAATCTCATCCCTCATTTCATAAAAATGAACAAAAAAACAGCAAAAGACTACCCACAGACTTCCATTGTAAGTGTGAAGCTGTGGCAAATGGTTTTTCCAAACTAAATCTAAATCTAAATTATTTCCTGTGACAGGCAACATTGTTATTTATGTACTGTCATACACTATTAAATGCTGTTGACAGAGCTTACCTTGTCAAACGTCCAGCGTCAAGTAATTTGTCTGCCCACAGTGTGAATAAGACTGCTCCCTGATGTAAAACAGTAACAGCCAATCAGATTTGATGATTAATATACACAGTCACATGAAGCGGGACTTTGGACCAATGAGGTTTCGCCATTGGGCGGGGCTTCCTAGCGTGACGCCGCGAAAACAGATTCGGTCCTACTCATTTCGGCAAATCATTTTTTTATGATTCGTTTTTAAGTTAGTTTCAAACTCATTATGAAATGGCGTTATCCTACTCATCTTACTATCAGATGACTGTCAGATTATTCCGAAAGAGATGGTTTGAACATAAACTGCTTGGACCAATTCAGGTCAATTCGTGACTGAATCATTTAGTTCGGTTCGTAAATTAATCGTTTAGAGACCAGTTTGTGAACCTGATTTAGTTAAAGTGGTCATATGATGCTTTTTTAAAGATCATTATTTTGCGTATTTGGTGTAACAGAATATGTTGACATGCTTTAATGTTCAAAAAACACATTATTTTTCAAATACTGTACATTATTGTAGGTCCTATATCCCCCGCCTCTCTCAAACGCTTCGTTTCTACAAAGTCCCTCCTTCCGACAAGCGCAGTCTGCTCTGATTGGCCAGCTGACCCAGTGCATTGTGATTGGCCGAACACCACAAGCACTCGTCGGAAATGTAACGCCCCTTACCATAATCGCGAGCTTCATCTTTCAAAATAAATGTAAAGACAGTAAATAATGTCATTAGTTTTACCATCAGTTCAAGCCCGAAAGGGGCCGAAAGAGTCGCGTGACAGACACAGTGATGAAGCTGGTATGTTTGCAGTACACAAGCCACGGTTAAGACAGCTGACTCCACTGTGATGTGACCCCCCCTCTCTCTCTCTCTCACTCTCTCGCGCGCTCTCTCTCTCTCTCTCTTTCTCGCTCTCTCTCTCTCTTGCGCTCTCTCTCTCTCTCTCGCGCTCTCTCTCTCTCTCTCTCTCTCTCTCTCTCTCTCTCTCGCTCT